CCCACATTAGTGTAGATCGTTTTACTGTTATTCACAAACTATCGATATTCAACAGCAATCCACAAGAACAACTCTGATGTGACCAATTGACTTCATGAAAAATGCTCAAAAGATCAAACGTTTAAAGAGATGTTTGCTGATATCTCGAAAAAGAGCTATTAAATATCAGGACACGATATCTTGAATCCCAAATGTGATGAAGAAATTCTAAGACCAGTTTCAAATTCAGCTCAATCCTTTAGAAAAATATACTTTGGTATCTAGGTTAAAAATTTGTCGGTTATATCTCCTATTTCAGTCCATAAAATGTGCGTAATCAGGACTTTGTAGCGTTCGTCCTTGACCAAAATAGTGTTTCCTGCAGTTTGGAACTTTCGTGCATGACAATGCCAACACATTCTAGAACGATATATCGGTATTTAAGGCTACATTTGAGCTTTAACTATGACAGCACCAACCAATCCAGAAGAAGTAATTCCGATTGCAATCTTTCGAAGTACATTTTACCAAAGCTTAATGCCAAAGCAATCAGATTACTAATCGGATTGTATAATATCACATCTTAGTTACTCTCAGTTAGAGCCACAATGTGTCAGCAGTAAGTAAAAACAAAGTCTTCGGTCTACCAAATCCTTCTCTAGGTGCTTTTGACGAGTCAACAGATACCATTCCATCAGTGTGATTGTGAAACTGTTGTCAAAGAATGCTTCAGATATGATATGAATATTGCTAGACAAGAAGCAATGGGACAGCGATGGTCAGAGATTAGATAGCTCAAGTTCTTGAGCAAAGTGCTTATACATGGACCGGTAAGAGCCATGTATAAAAGTTGTTCTTTTCGCAAGTCTCTCGGTGGTGATTCGTCTCTAGTTCACCATGTACTCATGTAAAGCAGTGAAAATGTGCACACTAGCATTATAGGAGGCGTGTCAACAGCCCATAAATGTTTATATCAATTTAGAAATTATATTGATATTTAAATATTAACGTTTTAATCTGATTTAAAGTGGTCAATATGAATGAAGTCCATTGTATTATAAATATGAACAAACTTTCAGTTGAAATGCTGAAATTAAGTTTTTTTATAATTTTTATTACAAATGAAATTGTTATTGTAATTTATATTAAACACAATTTTTACACTAATCAATTTGTATATTAAAAATTAAGAAATATTAATTTGTAAGTATTACAATTGGAGGTTATTTTGTTAATCACTTCGCTTTAAACATTATTTCACATAATTATCTTTTTAAAAAATTTGTATTGGAGTTTTTCAAAAAGTCTGATGAAAAGTTTTACTTTGTGTATTATTCACAAACACCTTTAGTTAGAAAAAAGTAACACCATTAATTACTTAAAGATTTATTTTAATTAATAAAAATCACATATGTTGCTGTTCGCACGTAATGCCGAGTACACTGTTCAAATAAATCAAAATCATTGAAGTTATTGAACTATACCTAATGCTATTTGTCGTTTAGATACGATATTAACATTAATTGATTTTACCATGAAATAAAAAATCGAACATAAAACATTTGTTAATAGACGAGACATGTAATTGTGAAATAAATGTAATAATTGTAATTTTTCTATACGATTTCAAAGAGTTATGTATAAAGAGTGACGATATGCAAATCACGTGTAAATATTGTTTTGTAATTAGGGTTTCGTTAGGGGGATTAAATGGGGACTTAATTCCCAGTTGTTGTGTTCACTTATTTTGATGGACATATTTTAACATTATGTCCATTATAGCATTGTCGATTAGAAACATACGAAAGTCTAGGTTTATCCAGAAGTGCAGTTGGACTTAACAAAGCTTAATTGTTCGCAAGTATCTCTCTTCCGATTTCTTGATATTTAAACGCTTTAGGGAACCTTTGATGCGCCGACGCTAGCTTGTCCATTAGATAACACAGACCGACAATATTTGAAAAAAAAGCAAAGTAATACTTTTTTTAAAGTTGAAGATTCCTCGAAGAAGGAAGAAGTTATGACAGATGTTACGCATTTATTTTAAGGCTGGCAGAATGGACTTCCAGATGGCTTACACCTTGGCGCTGTCATTAAATCTCAAAAACTTCAAAAATGGTGTTTTATCAAAATTCAAGACACGATATTTCGAATCCAAGATCTGATGGAGAAATTCTGAAGGCAGATTCGTATTTTGTAACTGGGTTTCATATCGTACCGGCCAACTGTAGCAACACTAACAACTATCGCACAATAGCAATTTGCTTTTCACTTTCCACAGTTATGAAAAGTATAGTAAACTTACATCTTAAGTATTTGGAGTCCCAAAATTCACTTAACGTCCGCTAGTATGGCTTCGTTGCGGCCGTTTTACGGAAACCTATTAGTCTTAATTTCTGAAAAATGGTACCGTTTTATTAACCATTTTGGCATAAGTAAAGTAGAAGCTCTGGATATTTACCAGACGTTTGATAGGGTGTGGCAAAACTAACTGCTTTTGGTGTCGATAATTAATTATCTCGATTTATATAGATCTTTCTTTGCGATCGCTCTATTCGAGTTATTACTTAAAGTATGAGATTGAAAGGAAGCCCCTCTCTACATAGCCTTTTTATGTATGCAAATGGCTCAAAAAGGAGGAGATCGATTACAGGGCATTATAATCCCTGAATTTTGGACCAATATAAAGTTCGGAATTCGCGATGATTGTAGTACTTATTCAACTGAAATATCGGCTATAAGAATAGCGGTAAACTGGCTATAATATCACAGAATATCAAATCGCTGGCAGATGTATACACCACATCAAGATTGATCCAGAAATGCCGGACATTCTTAAACAGTTATATTTTGGTTATGGAGACCATAGTCTAATTATAGATAATGTATTGCTAATGAACTGACAGCGGCCAAAACTATAAGAAGCTATGACCAAAATGGATGGATAACGAACCACATATCGTCTGAAATTAACTGGATCTCAATTAAGCAGTATAATTGCTAACATTACAGAATACATTAAGTTCGATATCAATGTTAGAAGACTTGGATTGCCGCATAATGAAAAAAATAAGAAGAGGATATTAGTCATTTCTGCTAAAAGAACCTTTTTCGCTATTTCAAACAAGAAGGAGTAATGAACTAACTATCTTTTACTATAACCACGAAGCTTTGGCCAAAATTGAATGGAGAACAGTCTTATTGCAAGTTTGGTATTCATTATAGAATCCAAGTATACCATAAAAACTTCTGACGAAGTTGTCATGATGAGGAAGATGAAAAATCATTTTAAACCACATCAACACCTCTGTACATCAGGCACTATTTGCTTAGGAAGTTGTAAGCCTTGATTGTACCGACATGAAGTCTCTATTAGGGACCCGCTATTATCAAAAAAACTAAAGTAAGGACGGTAAAAATTTTAAAATTTTAATTTTCAAATGCGAATATCTCCTAAACTATAAGAGATAATTTACTGCTACGACATTTTTTATAGTGCTCGATGAGGAGATTCTAAATACGAAATTTTTTTTAAATCGGAACTCAAATGAAGAAATAGGATCGTTTTAAAAATTTAACATAGCCGAGGTGTCCTAATTTGAGGACCCCCCGCCGGGCCCCTGGTTTTTATAGTGCTCGATGAGGAGATTCTATATACGAAATTTTTTTTAAATCGGAACTCAAATGAAGAAATAGGATCGTTTTAAAAATTTAACATAGCCGAGGTGTCCTAATTTGAGGACCCCCGCCGGGCCCCTGGTTGGCCTATAAGGTCCAAATTCAAAACCTAAACTCGACAACACCTCCTCTTTGTGCATACCAAATTTCATTAAAATCGGATTAACCGTTTAGAAGTTACCGAATTATTTCCCTCTTTTTTTTCCTATACCACTGTGAGGCGTCGTAAGAAGTTCAGCAAATAATGCTTTGAATATCTTCCTCTATTGATGCCTTTAGAACTTTATGTAGGGAGTGTAGCATGCCAGGAACCAACCAACATAGGCTCTTGGAGTCTACATTGGTAAAACCTTCACACGAAAATCAGGATAACATTGCCAAAAGTCTTTCAGATCATTTCAAATTTCTATAGAGCTTCCGAATAGGGAAGAATGGTTTGAGAGGTTTGAGATGGACACTGACACAGGTGCCGGTGTCTACATTGCTTACATGTATATAAAAAGATCTTTCAGATTCCATAACAAATGCAGTGTCTTCCAAGCATAGCGATTCTAGCGATGTGGAATGCGAAAAAACTGATACGTGAGCATACATTTTTGGGGTCTGCAGTTACAATTTATGTCGATAATCATGCTGCACTTAGAGCATTTGTATGTCATGCTCTTTGATATTGATATCTTGAGACTGTTTACAATAATGCTGTGTTGGGTCTGGTACTGTAATGTACAAGGTAATGAGGTAGCTTACGAACTAACAAATTTTGAACCTTGACCTAAATTGAAGTGACAGACCCATTTGTAACTATTAAAGGATGATAAGTTACGGAGTAGTTAACAGAGTACATTTTGTGTTGGATAGGGGTAGTCTAAGGACTCTGATAGGATATTTAGCTGGGTATTGTTCTGTTAGGTTCATTAATAGCAACTGGGACATGACTAAACCGGATTTCTGCAGTGAAGATATGGAGAAGCTAGAGACGATTAAGAATACATAATTTGTAAGCTATTGACCTAGTGTACAGGGTCTCGGGGAGAAAGGAAGTAGATTTCATGAAGAATTGTGTAACATAAATGGATGTAATCCATGCATTTTATTAGGGTTTATCTGGAGAATTATTAGGATTTATCTGGAGAATTAGTCGTTATTTCTTTTAGAGGCAACAGTGAAGTTTCAGATCTTTCAGATCTATCTTGTTATCGAAGGGATTTACAATGGACAATAAAAGTGGTGTTGAACCTTAGGGTGCATAAACCTTTCTTAACTAACCCAACGATCAATCACATGAAAGTTAATTAATGATTGTTAAATCTTTTTCATAAATAAGTAATAATAAATTAACTTACCATTTAATAATAATTGAGAGTCCTGTTTAGTTAGATCATGATCTTCTTCAATGCTGAATTGATTGGTTAATGGTAACTTATTCGATGATATACGATCATTACTAGTTGCGGCCAAATGATGCAGTTTATGTTGTGAACTGCTAGCACTTTTCGACAATGGTGAATTACCACCCTCACTAACACTATGATGATGATGATGCGCATTGTGATTGTGGTGATGATGATGATGATGATTGTGTTGTTGCTGCTGCTGATTAGCATTGTAAAGATCATCATGTAATTGATTATTTGGTAACACATTTGTAGAGAAAACATTATCGCTATAATCTTCTCTAACTTCCTGAGTTGGTGCCTGATTAAGAGCCTCATTTTCTTCGGGATTGAAAGATGCTGTTGTTTTATCTAAGGTGATACGTGTAGTGGGTGCATTCCACCACTGCAATTTGGCCATATTAGTTTTATTAGTATAATGTTTGGCAGCAGCTGTTGTAGCAGCTATTGCTGAGGCTTTATCTGTTGTATCCATGTCGGAGTCTAAAGTATTATCCGTTAAATAACCATTTGTTATAGTAGTTGATACGGGTGGGTCTAGGGGTGTCAAGGGTTCAGTGACACCTTCTTTAAGAGGGGTATATTTTTGCATTTTGAATTTTATTTTTTGTTTTTTTTTTTTATATTTCTTGTGCGTTTTTCACTAAGATAATCTCAAGAAAAAATTTGGTAGTTTTTTTATGGGTTTCTTTTGGATTTTGTTATTTAATTTAACTTTTGTAATGATTTTGTAATATAAAAGTTTTTTTTTTCTTGTTTTTGTTTTAATTAAGTTTTTTTAATGTTTTTTTTTAATATATAACGTTTTTTTCAAAAATTTAAATGTTCTTGATTTTTCGTTTTATTTTATTTAGTTTTTTTTTTTTTAATTTATTTATTTAGTTGATCCTATATAATGGCATCATCTTCATCGTATAGTAGTAGATAATGTCAGCTTCGCAGTTTCTTAGCTCCTGTAACATCCCGTACATGAGCAATGTGGCAAACTCGGCTCATATTGTATTCACAACTGTTATTACTTTCATATTCTATTTGCTTAATAGAAATTAACAATATTCTTGGTTGACTGAGTTCCATTTTGATTAAACAAATAAAAAAAAAGTAGATCACAACGACGTTTGAAATAAAAACCTAAACAATAAGCAAAACGTTTTATATGTATGTTGGTTTTCTAACTAAATATAAACCCCATCAATAGTAATAATAATACAATATTTGATTATATCTTAGCAGATATTTGATATAACTACTTCCGTCTAGAGCCAGGTTTTCTAATGTAACAATTACATATAGATTTTCAACACCTTAGGGTTAGTTGGTTGTTTTTGTGGGGGGGGGCGGGGCAGGGGGTGATGATGTATATTAACGTTTGCGAGTATGAGTTTTTAAACGTCTTCTTTTAAATTGAGGCTGCTGCTGTTGTTTTAAAGGAGCAATATACCATATCTTCTCCGCTGTTGGGAGACCACCTTGAGCGTAAGTTTTATAAATTTTATTATAATTGACTTTTTTCAGAGAATTTAATTTGCAATAATATTCCTGTCATTTAACACATATTAAGCTTGATTTTATCAATCATCCAAAACGTAGCAATGGTAAATGTTGATATTCAGCTATAGTCTTTGCCGTGCAGTGAATTTGTTTTGTAGTTTTCAAATGCCGATAAAGATCGGCATTCGCATCTGGATCTGGTCCTCCTCCGCCGCTACGTTTTTCAAAATAGAATTGTTCTATATATTCTTTTTGTAGCAATACCAATGATAGATTGGATACTACAATGCCGTGTACTATAGGAACTGTATATCGGTAGGCTTTTGCAACTTTATAACCACTAATGTGTGGCTTTGAAGCGTATGCTGATGATGATGAAGATGATGCTGTAGCGGCTGCTGCTGTGGTGTACGCTTTACAATAACGTTGACGTCTTCGTTGTCTTCTACTAAGCTTTGATTGTTTAGTAACACTTTGAACTGAATGCATTACGTTTAGCAACACGTTGATGACAATTTTTATTTAAAGGGCGTTTTATTTAGCGCTCTTTTAATTTAAGACAATTTATGTTTTTTTTTTTTTTTTTTAATTTAAAAGTTTTTAAAGCTTTTTAGGGTTTTCTTGTATTAAAAATGTTTTTTTTTTTCTTTCTTTAGGGAAATTTTCACTTGTTTTCTTTTAAGTTTTTAAGTTTTCGTTTTATTTTCCGTTCGCTTGTATTTGTTTTTTAAGTTTTTCTTTTGTTTTTATATATTTTGCTTTTTTTTTTTGGTTCTTAACAAAATTTTATTAAATTTTTACCATTACTTAAAGATAATTGTTCTATAATTTGTTGAATATAATATAAATTTTTTGTTGAATTTTTATTTAAACTATTAATTAATAAGGGCTTGTTACATTTACTAATAATATTGGCTGTTGTACAATTATTATGCATTAATATAGAATTAATTAATTTAATTTTTTGTTTCCCATGCACACTTTGAAAAATCTTCATATTCATTTCGCACAATTTTCTTTTTTATTTTTGCTTAACACATACAAATTTTCAATTTATTTATTCATTTGTCTTGGCCTAATCATTCACTATAACCAGCTGAAACTTTTAGCACTTTACTCTATTTCATAAGTTTCTTTAACGCATATTATACCAGAATTTATTTAAATTTTGTGAAATAATTTATTTTTCAAAAAGAAATTATAAAAAAAATCTGCTTGCACTTTTTTGATATCGACGTTTAGTTGAGGAGGAGACAATATGTGGAGCTCTTGTATATCGAATGGTTGTAGAAAATCTGTAAGCAAAAGAAATAAAATTTGAGAATTTAATAAGAACAAGCATTAGACATAAAACAATGTGATTGAGTTTGTAGAAAGAAGAAGAAGAAGAAGAAAGAAAGAAAAAAAAAATCAATAAAAACTATTTAATCAACGTTTGGATGAAACGACACAACGACGACGATGTTGATGGTGTACGCAATTTTATTAAACATACAATACAAATTTTCTGTGTAGAGTATGCGCAATACATCACATGATGCAAATTGACATTTGAACAGGGTGTATGTACAATTGACAAACATATTGAAACTCTAAATGATATCAAGGAAATTTTAATGAAAAGTTCAAAGTTCCATAAATATATAGAAATTTAAATTTAAGTTCTTATTTCCCCATATATCTTAGGATTTTTGTTTTCCATTTCTTAACTTTAATAAAATTCTTTTTTTTTTCTAATAAATTACTGTACTTTATTTCCTTATTTTTATTTAACTGATCTTGTAATAGTATATTTTCATTTATAAAACTTATAAAATTTTATTAAACGTATCAAACAATAATCTCAAATGTTTCTATAAATGTACGTATTTAGATTAGTTTTGTAATTTAGTTTATATTATCGTTTATAATGATTAATACGTATACCGTCTGAGTGTTTTTGCTGATAACAAAATTGTTTAGAATTTTCCTTCATATACCGGAAATAGTTCACATAATTTGTTGTGCAAATGAATCATATGATTTTTCGCTTCAAAATATTTATGAAAATTTTTTACATTATTGTAGAATTCTAAGTACCTTTAATGGTATGGTCTACATATATTAATTGTATTGAATTATTTATAAAAGAAAATAACCATTTTTTGACAGGGTAACAGAAAATATTTCATACAAGTAATTAAGACTATAATATAGTCCAGACTTCGTACTGCAATCCGGCCTACAGTCAAGTCTTTAATCTGGTAATCTATCGTCTGGACTATAGTGTCCCAGCAATAACTGGGTAATGGCTTTCAATTGTAATTACTTACCTTACAACATACTTTTAAATGACAACTTCATATGGTCTGGATTACGTAGAAGTAGTCTAATAAGGCCTTAATAATAATGTGTTATATAAATACTTTCTAATTCATTAGTCATCTTGCCAGTGAGGATACGAATACGTATTTATACGTTTTTTCATGTGATTTATAATGACTAGTTTTTCTAATCGTTTGCGGTAAGTACTTGCCTCCAATGACATAAATGTTTTGATAGACTAGTATATAGTCCAGTCTATAGTCTAGTCTATAGTCTAGTCTATAGTCTAGTCTATAGTCTAGTCTATAGTCTAGTCTATAGTCTAGTCTATAGTCTAGTCTATAGTCTAGTCTATAGTCTAGTCTATAGTCTAGTCTATAGTCTAGTCTATAGTCTAGTCTATAGTCTAGTCTATAGTCTAGTCTATAGTCTAGTCTATAGTCTAGTCTATAGTCTAGTCTATAGTCTAGTCTATAGTCTAGTCTATAGTCTAGTCTATAGTCTAGTCTATAGTCTAGTCTACAGTCTAGTCTAGTCTAGTCTATAGTCTAGTCTATAGTCCAGTCTATAGTCTAGTCTATAGTCTAGTCTATAGTCTAGTCTATAGTCTAGTCTATAGTTAGTCTATAGTCTAGTCTATAGTCTAGTCTAGTCTATAGTCTAGTCTATAGTCTAGTCTATAGTCTAGTCTATAGTCTAGTCTATAGTCTAGTCTATAGTCTAGTCTATAGTCTAGTCTATAGTCTAGTCTATAGTCTAGTCTATAGTCTAGTCTATAGTCTAGTCTATAGTCGAGTCTATAGTCGAGTCTATAGTCTAGTCTATAGTCTAGTCTATAGTCTAGTCTATAGTCTAGTCTATAGTCTAGTCTATAGTCTAGTCTATAGTCTAGTCTATAGTCAAGTCTATAGTCTAGTCTATAGTCTAGTCTATAGTCTAGTCTATAGTCTACTCTATAGTCTAGTCTATAGTCTAGTCTATAGTCTAGTCTATAGTCTAGTCTATAGTCTAGTCTATAGTCTAGTCTATAGTCTAGTCTATAGTCTAGTCTATATTCTAGTCTATATTCTAGTCTATAGTCTAGTCTATAGTCTAGTCTATAGTCCAGTCTATAGTCTAGTCTATAGTCTAGTCTATAGTCTAGTCTATAGTCTAGTCTATTGTCTAGTCTATAGTCTAGTCTATTGTCTAGTCTATAGTCTAGTCTATAGTCTAGTCTATAGTCTAGTCTATAGTCTAGTCTATAGTCTAGTCTATAGTCTAGTCTATAGTCTAGTCTATAGTCTAGTCTATAGTCTAGTCTATAGTCTAGTCTATAGTCTAGTCTATAGTCTAGTCTATAGTCTAGTCTATAGTCTAGTCTATAGTCTAGTCTATAGTCTAGTCTATACTCTAGTCTATAGTCTAGTCTATACTCTAGTCTATAGTCTAGTCTATAGTCTAGTCTATAGTCTAGTCTGTAGTCTAGTCTATAGTCTAGTCTATAGTCTAGTCGATAGTCTACTCTATAGTCTAGTCTATAGTCTAGTCTATAGTCTACTCTATAGTCTAGTCTATAGTCTAGTCTATAGTCTAGTCTATAGTCTAATAGTCTAGTCTAGTCAATAGTCTAGTCTAGTCAATAGTCTAGTCAATAGTCTAGTCTAGTCAATAGTCTAGTCAATAGTCTAGTCAATAGTCTAGTCTATAGTCTAGTCAATAGTCTAGTCAATAGTCTAGTCAATAGTCTAGTCTAGTCAATAGTCTAGTCTATAGTCTAGTCTATAGTCTAGTCTATAGTCTAGTCTATAGTCTAGTCTATAGTCTAGTCTATAGTCTAGTCTATAGTCTAATCTATAGTCTAGTCTATAGTCTAGTCTATAGTCTAGTCTATAGTCTAGTCTATAGTCTAGTCTATAGTCTAGTCTATAGTCTAGTCTATAGTCTAGTCTATAGTCTAGTCTATAGTCTAGTCTATAGTCTAGTCTATAGTCTAGTCTATAGTCTAGTCTATAGTCTAGTCTATAGTCTAGTCTATAGTCTAGTCTATAGTCTAGTCATAGTCTAGTCCTATAGTCTAGTCTATAGTCTAGTCTATAGTCTAGTCTATAGTCTAGTCTATAGTCTAGTCTATAGTCTAGTCTATAGTCTAGTCTATAGTCTAGTCTATAGTCTAGTCTATAGTCTAGTCTATAGTCTAGTCTATAGTCTAGTCTATAGTCTAGTCTATAGTCTAGTCTATAGTCTAGTCTATAGTCTAGTCTATAGTCTAGTCTATAGTCTAGTCTATAGTCTAGTCTATAGTCTAGTCTATAGTCTAGTCTATAGTCTAGTCTATAGTCTAGTCTATAGTCTAGTCTATAGTCTAGTCTATAGTCTAGTCTATAGTCTAGTCTATAGTCTAGTCTATAGTCTAGTCTATAGTCTAGTCTATAGTCTAGTCTATAGTCTAGTCTATAGTCTAGTCTATAGTCTAGTCTATAGTCTAGTCTAGTCAATAGTCTAGTCTATAGTTTAGTCTATAGTCTAGTCTATAGTCTAGTCTATAGTCTAGTCTATAGTCTAGTCTATAGCCCAGTCTATAGTCTAGTCTATAGTCTAGTCTATAGTCTAGTCTATAGTCTAGTCTATAGTCTAGTCTATAGTCTAGTCTATAGTCTAGTCTATAGTCTAGTCTATAGTCTAGTCTATAGTCTAGTCTATAGTCTAGTCTATAGTCTAGTCTATAGTCTAGTCTATAGTCTAGTCTATAGTCTAGTCTATAGTCTAGTCTATAGTCTAGTCTATAGTCTAGTCTATAGTCTAGTCTATAGTCTAGTCTAGTCTAGTCTAGTCAATAGTCTATAGTCTAGTCTATAGTCTAGTCTATAGTCTAGTCTATAGTCTAGTCTATAGTCTAGTCTATAGTCCAGTCTATAGTCTAGTCTATAGTCTAGTCTATAGTCTAGTCTATAGTCTAGTCTATAGTCTAGTCTATAGTCTAGTCTATAGTTTAGTCTATAATCTAGTCTATAGTGTAATCTATAGTGTAGTCTGTAGTGCATTTCAGTCAAATATTTAAACTACAGTCTAGTCCATATTTTTCTAAAATTTAAAAATATTTGTAGTTCGTATTTTTAGTTCCTTGTTAGGTCTATATTATTTTTTTCTATCATCTAGACTACAGTTTTATCTACACCCAAAGTATACTTATATTTACCTATCTCGCACTATAATATTTTACGATTTCATGGCTAAAATAAACATGTCAACACACTCAGATTTCCGAGACGTATGCCATATTAAATAAAAAATACTATATACATACAGTACTTTTCTTAATACAATTCAAACAACATACATACGTAATTGAAATGAACACCAATCTCTACACCGTCATACCCGTTTCCTAAGTATTTTTATCATTTCATATTTTTTTGTGATTAACCGCCTAGCTACAGAAATAATGACTTGACGTATAATTCGTACTGTTTTTAGTCTTCATCATCAGTCAGTGTTGAAGGTATTTTAATGTTTGCCATTCATTTGCAATTGATGATTTCGGGTCAATTATAAACTGATCATCAAGAAATATGATAGAGAGAATGATATATATATATATCATTCTCTATCATATCATATTATAGTCTAGTCTATAGTCTAGTCTATAGTCTAGTCTATAGTTTAGTCTATAGTCTAGTCTATAGTCTAGTCTATAGTCTAGTCTATAGTCTAGTCTATAGTCTAGTCTATAGTCTAGTCTATAGTCTAGTCTATAGTCTATTCTATAGTCTAGTCTATAGTCTATGCTACAGTCTATAGTCTAGTCTATAGTATAGCCTATAGTCCAGTCTATAGTATAGCCTATAGTCTAGTCTATAAGTCTATAGTCTAGTCTGTAGTTTAGTCTATAGTCTAGTCTTTAGTTTAGTCTATAGTCTAGTCTATAGTTTAGTCTATAGTCTTGTATGTAGTATAGTCTATAGTCTATAGTGTAGTCTATAGTCTAGTCTATAGTCTATGGTCTAGTCTATAGTCTAGTCTATAGTTTAGTCTATAGTCTAGTCTATAGTCTATTCTATAGTCTAGTCTATAGTCTAGTCTATAGTCAAGTCTATAGTCTAGTCTGCAGTCTATTCTATAGTCTAGTCTATAGTCTAGTCTATAGTCTAGTCTATAGTCTAGTCTATAGTCTAGTCTATAGTCTAGTCTATAGACTAGTCTATAGACTAGTCTATAGTCTAGTCTATAGTCTAGTCTATAGTCTAGTCTATAGTCTAGTCTATAGTCTAGTCTATAGTCTAGTCTATAGTCTAGTCTATAGTCTAGTCTATAGTCTAGTCTATAGTCTAGTCTATAGTCTAGTCTATAGTCTAGTCTATAGTCTAGTCTATAGTCTAGTCTATAGTCTAGTCTATAGTCTAGTCTATAGTCTAGTCTATAGTCTAGTCTATAGTCTAGTCTATAGTCTAGTCTATAGTCTAGTCTATAGTCTAGTCTATAGTCTAGTCTATAGTCTAGTCTATAGTCTAGTCTATAGTCTAGTCTATAGTCTAGTCTATAGTCTAGTCTATAGTCTAGTCTATAGTCTAGTCTATAGTCTAGTCTATAGTCTAGTCTATAGTCTAGTCTATAGTCTAGTCTATAGTCTAGTCTATAGTCTAGTCTATAGTCTAGTCTATAGTCTAGTCTATAGTCTAGTCTAAGTCTAGTCTAGTCTATAGTCTAGTCTATAGTCTAGTCTATAGTCTAGTCTATAGTCTAGTCTATAGTCTAGTCTATAGTCTAGTCTATAGTCTAGTCTATAGTATAGTCTATAGTCTAGTCTATAGTCTAGTCTATAGTCTAGTCTATAGTCTAGTCTATAGTCTAGTCTATAGTCTAGTCTATAGTCTAGTCTATAGTCTAGTCTATAGTCTAGTCTATAGTCTAGTCTATAGTCTAGTCTATAGTCTAGTCTATAGTCTAGTCTATAGTCTAGTCTATAGTGTAGTCTATAGTGTAGTCTATAGTGTAGTCTATAGTGTAGTCTATAGTCTAGTCTATAGTCTAGTCTATAGTCTAGTCTATAGTCTAGTCTATAGTCTAGTCTATAGTCTAGTCTATAGTCTAGTCTATAGTCTAGTCTATAGTCTAGTCTATAGTCTAGTGTCTATAGTCTAGTCTATAGTCTAGTCTATAGTCTAGTCTATAGTCTAGTCTATAGTCTAGTCTATAGTCTAGTCTATAGTCTAGTCTAGTCTAGTCTATAGTCTAGTCTATAGTCTAGTCTATAGTTCCTAGTCTATAGTCTAGACTATATTAAAGTACTTTTCCTTGCTTTTTGCTAAAAAATTGTTAAAATTTGCAAAGAAATTGAGAAAACGAACGCCACGCCAGTTGTCACGTCAAATGTTATAAACATGAGTAGACTAGACTATAGACTAGACTATAGATTAGACCAAAGATTGGCTATAGTCTAGTCTATAGTCTAGTCTATAGTCTAGTCTATAGTCTAGTCTATAGTCTAGTCTATAGTCTAGTCTATAGTCTAGTCTATAGTCTAGTCTATAGTCTAGTCTATAGTCTAGTCTATAGTATAGTCTATAGTATAGTCTATAGTCTAGTCTATATTCTAGTCTATATTCTAGTCTATAGTCTAGTCTATAGTCTAGTCTATAGTCTAGTCTATAGTCTAGTCTATAGCCAATCTTTGGTCTAATCTATAGTCTAGTCTATAGTCTAGTCTACTCATGTTTATAACATAGTCTATAGCCATAGACTAACCTATAATATAGAAGATCAAAATGTTTTGTTAAAAGCTAAGTTAGTTTTAACGCCGCCGAGTATAGAGCTCATAATTGATTTATTAACTACTTATATATGGCAAAGAAAACCTATCGTATATAGACGATGAAGGAGCTTATGATGCCATAGAACTGACGGTAAATAGGTGAAAATTTAGTTGTAATGTAAAATGTACATTTTAATTTTAATATTAAAACAATGTTAATCTGATTTTAGAATTTTTAGAAGCGTAAATAAGAACAAAAACTTATGATTTATAATCCATATTTTGCCTAATAATACATTATTAGCCACTGGAGACTTTTTACTTTATTTCTTTAAACTGCACAGAAAAAAATCAATTTTTAACAAAATTCTTTCTATATTATGCAAAATAAATGATCATTAACATTTGTGTTTTGGGTTTATTCCTATACAAATACATATATTTATACACTTTTCATGAACATAAAAATGTTTGAAAAAACATTGAATGATTATTTGCTTTAGCTTATATACTTTTTGGAGTGTGTGGGCATATCAAAAAATCTATTTTTAACTTTTGCTTGACGCCAAACTAAAAATTATTAGTATATAAAACTTACGTAGAACAATTTGAAAATACCTTATGCAATTGCAATTATGTTTTAGGTAGATTATAAAAAGTGGCAGTAAAATTCCATATACCAACTAAATTTAAAGGACTTCTACTTGATAGTAGATAGAATCTATAATAAACTATTTTTCAATGACTTTTAGAAAGTTGGCACTTAATAAAACGAAAGTAAAGTGGTTTTGTTTGGAAGAAAAACCTTAATAGGGTGGGGATTTTTTTAAATATTACTTTAAATGAGATAAGACTTAATTCCTAGAAAATCTTTACTAAATATCTAACAACTTTTTTTTGAATTATGTTAAATACTTGAAGTGCTAATTTGTAGTGTTTTTTACTTATAAATGGTTATTAAAAAGATTCACGTGGCAGATTTATAATCGTCTGAATAAGCAATTCATATTTTTATTGGCAAAATTGTTTTAATTATTTTGAAAAGTTGAAATAATTTTGGAATTTTTATAAGTGCAAATTCCACTTAAAAAACTTAATCTAATATTTTCCGTCACCGAAAAGTACTTTTAGACTGATTTGATCTCAGAATTGTTTTTAACATAAACTTTTTAAGTTTCTCTATACAAATGACACAATCTTGATTTTATATTTTTACTCAAAAAATTAATGTTTGATTTGGAAAATACATAAATGGACTTTCATGATTGCAAAGATTTTTACGGTTTTTGCTCTATTTCTTCTAGTCCAGATATAGTTCAGTTCTAGTTCAGTTCTAGTTCAGTTCTAGTTCAGTTCTAGTTCAGTTCTGGTTCAGTTCTGGTTCAGTTCTAGTTCAGTTCTAGTTCAGTTCTAGTTCAGTTCTAGTTCAGTTCTAGTTCAGTTCTAGTTCAGTTCTAGTTCAGTTCTAGTTCAGTTCTAGTTCAGTTCTAGTTCAGTTCTAGTTCAGTTCTAGTTCAGTTCTAGTTCAGTTCTAGTTCAGTTCTAGTTCAGTTCTAGTTCAGTTCTAGTTCAGTTCTAGTTCAGTTCTAGTTCAGTTCTAGTTCAGTTCTAGTTCAGTTCTAGTTCAGTTCTAGTTCAGTTCTAGTTCAGTTCTAGTTCAGTTCTAGTTCAGTTCTAGTTCAGTTCTAGTTCAGTTCTAGTTCAGTTCTAGTTCAGTTCTAGTTCAGTTCTAGTTCAGTTCTAGTTCAGTTCTAGTTCAGTTCTAGTTCAGTTCTAGTTCAGTTCTAGTTCAGTTCTAGTTCAGTTCTAGTTCAGTTCTAGTTCAGTTCTAGTTCAGTTCAGTTCAGTTCAGTTCTAGTTCAGTTCTAGTTCAGTTCTAGTTCAGTTCTAGTTCAGTTCTAGTTCAGTTCTAGTTCAGTTCTAGTTCAGTTCTAGTTCAGTTCTAGTTCAGTTCTAGTTCAGTTCTAGTTCAGTTCTAGTTCAGTTCTAGTTCAGTTCTAGTTCAGTTCTAGTTCAGTTCTAGTTCAGTTCTAGTTCAGTTCTAGTTCAGTTCTAGTTCAGTTCTAGTTCAGTTCTAGTTCAGTTCCAGTTCAGATCTAGTTCAGTTCTAGTTCAGTTCTAGTTCAGTTCTAGTTCAGTTCTAGTTCAGTTCTAGTTCAGTTCTAGTTCAGTTCTAGTTCAGTTCTAGTTCAGTTCTAGTTCAGTTCTAGTTCAGTTCTAGTTCAGTTCTAGTTCAGTTCTAGTTCAGTTCTAGTTCAGTTCTAGTTCAGTTCTAGTTCAGTTCTAGTTCAGTTCTAGTTCAGTTCTAGTTCAGTTCTAGTTCAGTTCTATTTCAGTTCTAGTTCACTTCTAGTTCAGTTCTAGTTCAGTTCTAGTTCAGTTCTACTTCAGTTCTACTTCAGTTCTACTTCAGTTCTAGTTCAGTTCTAGAGACAACCAAAAGATTTTATACGCAAACTTCGAACCCTGATATTGAGTATAACAAAAATACCCGGAAAATTCTCACATGATCTTGCCACCAAATACAAAAAGACTCATTAAAAGAAAACGAAAATAAAGAATAGAATAAAACAAGTGAATTTTGAAAAAATAAATTGCATATTTGTTAATAAATGTCATGAAAATCAAATAAATTTTAGAAAAGAAACAAAAGAGGCCATTGTTAAATATGTATCTTTCTATAGCTCATCTCTCACACTCCGCACACAGCGCAACAACTGGGAAACAAACAAAAACGATGACTACAAAAACAACAAGGCAAAATAACTAATAATGATGGGAATAACTCTGCTGGCCTTTAAACGTATTGAACTTGATGTATTTGTTGTGTCTTTTTTTAATTTTTGTAAATTTTTGTTTTCGTTGGCAATTACACCATGATTTGCAAACAACCCATTAAACGGTATTGCGGGCGGCGAGCACAGACACATTAACTGGAACTGGGAATGATTCATGGTGTCTAATATTAAAAAAATATTATACAAAGTAGAACAACAATATGCTTGGCATGCATATACTAACAACAACAACATACTAAATAAGCAATGAATGAGTATGTCGCTTTCAAACAATGTATCCATGCGGATAAAGATATTATTTATGGTCTAGCCAGCCGTTTGCTCAAATATCTCAAAAATAAAATTTCTTTATCTTTCACAATCACTTAAAAATTTATTTCATACTTTTTTGTGTGTAACTTTTTTTTTAGATGTGTATGCGGTTTTACCTTATTTCTTGGTTTTCTGCAAAATCAGCATATTTTGTGAGCGAAGAATGTAAAAAACGTACTTTTTTAATATATTTCAAACTTATGATTACGTATTTTTATCATCATTTTTTGTCGACTTTTCTTTGAAAACTCTTTCAGTGGAAGCACATGAATACCAACACCAACAACAACAAGCACATCAGTCAAAAAAAATTATTTTTGCTATACTTATAAAATTTTGTATCTTTTCATTGGCTTTTTCTAGCCGATTTTTTTAATAATCAATGATTTTTTTCGTTTTAGAACACACTTGATTAGTTGCACTTTTTATTTGTTAAACAATTAAATGGATTTATTCATTAAATTCATTTATTATTTTAAATTTTACAGATAATTCTTAACCTTAGCGACAAAGTTTTGCTAATAAATTTTTTGTAAAGTGAAAAAATTCTCTTTTCGAAAATGTGAGTTTGCAGAAAACTCACACATACACACACATGGATAGAGACAACTGTGGCGAGGAAAAATTGACAACGGCGTCAGCTGACAATTTTAGAAATGTTTGCGACTGTTTTTATATACTTATAGCCAGCTAAATAAATAAAAATTACAAATCTGGACCCAGCATTCATACAACTATGTTTTGAAGATTGTTTAAACGTATATATTTTTTTTTTTTTTTTTTTTTTTTTTTTTTTTTATTGAATTCATTAGTAATCAAAAAAAAGCCTTGTTTGGCCTATAAATTACATAGATGTCTTATAGAGTAGGTGTAAATAAATTTTATAAATATATATTATTTTTTTTTTATTTAAACTTATAACTAATTCTAATTGCACGAATATGTATATAAAGATTTAAAATAATAATATGTAAAGTCCATAGTAGCCAAATTTATGATGTTTATTATACATGATTCTTAAATAGTTCTTGAAAGTTGTGTAAGTTTTGTGAAAAATTGCGAGCATCATAAGGAATAATATTATTCCATAGCCTACATATTCTGGCAGAAAATGACCGGTGCATATAAAGAGTATTGATTCTGGGACATATTATTGCAGATGTTCGTGTTGAATGAGAAAAAGAAACAAGATCTTGTAGATATTGAGGACTTCCATTTTTTTTTATTTTGTAAAACAGAGTAATTAATCTAAAATCTATAAAGTCCCTAAAATCTAACCCAAGAAAGTCTCTAGTTTCAGCTGACACATGTGCTCTAAAATCTAACTTATAGACAAATCGTATAACTCTGTTAAATTTTAAATTTTCATAAAAAATAGCTGTTTTACAAAAAACTTTTCAACGGCGAAAGCAGTTAAAATTTAACACGGCGGATTCTGGTTCAACGGCATAGAAATATGAATTGTCACAATAAAGAGGAAAAACAGAGTTGTTAAAAAAATAACCGCCTGGGTAATTAATATAAAGCATTTGTTTCTTTAAATTTAATAAATTTATCGTTTAATACATAATTAAATAAAATGTCTGTTCAAGAACAAAAAATTGTTACAAATTATCACAAATTGTTTGGAATTATTAAATACTTTTATGAAAGTTAGTAACAAAGTTAGTTATTGAACAGACCTAAAATAATTAAAAGTTTTTGCAAAGTAAACAACCATGCCAGATGATTTTCAAAAATAAAACGTTACTTTTGATGACTGTTGGAACCCAAATAACAAAAGGCTTAACTAGTGAAACCTTCTAACGACAATTGGATCTCCGCTCCGGAACGACCCGATTCCTAAGGGAAGAACATCAAGTTACAGCAGACTTCCTTTTGTGTTCTAATATTAAAGACACATTCTATATATTGTTGCAGCATTCTAAAATCTAGATAATAGAAATCCATTTATATTATTGTATGTTGGTGAAAATGTATTTAATCAAAATATATTTAAATAAAAAGTAACTACAGAGAAAAGAATACAAAAATTAAAGTTAGAAAAAAAAATAAAACTTAAATAACTTGCAATAATAGTTTTGCATAAATTATTCGAAAAAAAAAACAATTTCCATAAATAATTGTAAAGTATGTATTAAACTATTTTTTTCTGTCGTCTTCTAGTAACACTTGCTGTAGTTGTGCATTCTGCAGGTTCTGGTTCTGGTTTTTCAGTTTTATCTAAAACAAGTCTACGTTGTCTACGGGGACGACTTTCAGCGACTGTAATTACATCGACAGTATCTTCATTGCTAGAAGTTTTATCTCTGGAGGTGGCTCGATTCCTAGTTGTAGATTTAGTTTTTTCTTTGGTAGCTTCCTTAGGGGCTGGTTTTAATGTACAAGGAGAATCTTCTAAAACGATAATAACCGGTGCCACAGCTTCCTTGACTAGATTAGGTTTACGCCCACGACTTCTAGTGGTTTTCGTTTGTGTTTCATTTTCCGTAGGAGCTTTTGTCCTTTTAGTGCTTTTAATTTCTAGATTTTGCATTTGTGCTATTAGATCATTTGTATTGAGATTTTCTTTGGTATCTAAAGATTCGAATGATGAAGCAGAAGAGGAAGATATTTGTGGCGAAGTTTTGGGTGTATCGGTTGAATCAATATCAATATGATATTGTGGCGGCACAAGTTCTGGTTTTTTGATTTTCGCCTCTCTTTTGCTAGCCGTAGTAGTTTTTGTTGTTTTCGTAGTAGTTTTTGTAACTTTGGGGGTCTTATGTAGCTGTTCTGGTTCATCTGGGGTTTTAGTTCGTTTTATAGTTTTAGCTGCTTCTTCGCTAACAATTACATCGGCTATAGTGTCCGTGACTTCCACAATTTCAATGGAATCTTCACAAATTTCAAATTTAGGTTTTGGTTTAAGTTTTGTTGTTTTGCTATCTAAACTAGTAGTGCTACCGGAACTACTACTGCTGCTGCTGGCGCCTGTTTGAGTTTTGGGTTTCTTTGAGGAGGAGCAACCACTGCCCATTATAATGCTGGGTAAAGGTCTCATTATTGCTGTTGGCTTTTTTCCTGAAGCCATTACATTTTGTAACAGTTTCTCTTTTAGTTCTTTTTTAGCTTGTTCTTTAAGTTGTACATTTTCCGGAGATATATTGAATTGTAAAGCTCTTCTTATTTTACTATATGTGGGCAGTGGGACTTTTACATTACTGCAGTCACCCATTTGCTTTTGCGTGGCCACGAGTTGCAATTGAAAATTAACATAGTAAACAGCATCTATATAGAATTTCATGTTTTCACACAATTCCATTCCATACTGCAGACATTGCACGGCTTTATCGTACTTTTTTCGGGCTCTAAGAAAATTCGCATAATGTTGCATGGCCATAAGTTGTATGTTTTTATAGTATTTCTTATTGAAACTATTATTGCGCATTTGCAGCCACTTGCTGCCTCTTTCGTAGAATATCTCCAATTGATCATAGTCCTCTACTAGAAAATAGAGTCTAGCATTTAAGCATCCCACCATGAATAATGTCCATTCGATTTGTTCGTTTTGTGGCATAAGTTTGGCATCAACATTACATTTAAAATAACGTTTCAAATCGGTATTACGATGTGAGGGGCTCAACTGTAATTTGCCCTAAACATAAAAATAAAACATTAATATTTAATAGAATTTAATTTGGAAGCAATTTAAACTAACCGTTTTAATAGGCGATAATTGTACTTGTGCCAGACGGCGTATTGCCTCCATGCCAGGATTATACTGGATTTGTGTAAATAACTCTGCACATTGTGTGGGTAATAATGTACTAGACTGTATGTCACTTATGGTTTTTGTACTCTTTTCCATTATCTCATTAAGACTTTTAATGCCCATAACATATTCAATTATTTTTAATTTTGTCTGAAAGAAAAATATTTAATTTAAATTCTGTATCATTTCCCAACATATTTCTGAAATTTCCACTGAACTAGAACAGATCCACAACTGAAATAGAACTGAACTAGAACTGAACTAGAACTGAACTAGAACTGAACTAGAACTGAACTAGAACTGAACTAGAACTGAACTAGAACTGAACTGGAACTGAACTAGAACTGAACTAGAACTGAACTAGAACTGAACTAGAACTGAACTAGAAGTGAACTAGAACTGAACTAGAACTGAACTAGAACTGAACTAGAACTGAACTAGAACTGAACTAGAACTGAACTAGAACTGAACTAGAACTGAACTAGACTGAACTGAACTGAACTAGAACAGAACTAGAACAGAACTAGAACAGAACTAGAACAGAACTAGAACTGAACTAGAACTGAACTAGAACTGAACTAGAACTGAACTAGAACTGAACTAGAACTGAACTAGAACTGAACTAGAACTGAACTAGAACTGAACTAGAACTGAACTAGAACTGAACTAGAACTGAACTAGAACTGAACTAGAACTGAACTAGAACTGAACTAGAACTGAACTAGAACTGAACTAGAACTGAACTAGAACTGAACTAGAACTGAACTAGAACTGAACTAGAACTGAACTAGAACTGAACTAGAACTGAACTAGAACTGAACTAGAACTGAACTAGAACTGAACTAGAATTGAACTAGAACTGAACTAGAACTGAACTAGAACTGAACTAGAACTGAACTAGAACTGAACTAGAACAGAACTAGAACAGAACTAGAACAGAACTAGAACTGAACTAGAACTGAACTGGAACTGAACTAGAACTGAACTAGAACTGAACTAGAACTGAACTAGAACTGACTAGAATTGAACTAGAACTGAACTAGAACTGAACTAGAACTGAACTAGAACTGAACTAGAACTGAACTAGAACTGAACTAGAACAGAACTAGAACAGAACTAGAACTGAACTAGAACTGAACTAGAACTGAACTAGAACTGAACTAGAACTGAACTAGAACTGAACTGGAACTGAACTAGAACTGAACTAGAACTAAACTAGAACTGAACTAGAACTGAACTAGAACTGAACTAGAACTGAACTAGAACTGAACTAGAACTGAACTAGAACTGAAACTAGAACTGAACTAGAACTGAACTAGAACTGAACTAGAACTGACTAGAACTGAACTAGAACTGAACTAGAACTGAACTAGAACTGAACTAGAACTGAACTAGAACTGAACTAGAACTGAACTAGAACTGAACTAGAACTGAACTAGAACTGAACTAGAACTGAACTAGAACTGAACTAGAACTAAACTAGAACTGAACTAGAACTGAACTAGAACTGAACTAGAACTGAACTAGAACTGAACTAGAACTGAACTAGAACTGAACTAGAACTGAACTAGAACTGAACTAGAACTGAACTAGAACTGAACTAGAACTGAACTAGAACTGAACTAGAACTGAACTAGAACAGAACTAGAACTGAACTAGAACTGAACTAGAACTGAACTAGAACTGAACTAGAACTGAACTAGAACTGAACTAGAACTGAACTAGAACTGAACTAGAACTGAACTAGAACTGAACTAGAACTGAACTACAACTGAACTAGAACTAGAACTGAACTAGAACTGAACTAGAACTGAACTAGAACTGAACTAGAACTGAACTAGAACTGAACTAGAACTGAACTAGAACTGAACTAGAACTGAACTAGAACTGAACTAGAACTAGAACTGAACTAGAACTGAACTAGAACTGAACTAGAACTGAACTAGAACTGAACTAGAACTGAACTAGAACTGAACTAGAACTGAACTAGAACTGAACTAGAACGAACTAGAACTGAACTAGAACTGAACTAGAACTGAACTAGAACTGAACTAGAACTGAACTAGAACTGAACTAGAACTGAACTAGAACTGAACTAGAACTGACTGAACTAGAACTGAACTAGAACTGAACTAGAACTGAACTAGAACTGAACTAGAACTGAACTAGAACTGAACTAGAACTGAACTAGAACTGAACTAGAACTGAACTAGAACTGAACTAGAACTAGAACTGAACTAGAACTGAACTAGAACTGAACTAGAACTGAACTAGAACTGAACTAGAACTGAACTAGAACTGAACTAGAACTGAACTAGAACTGAACTAGAACTGAACTAGAACTGAACTAGAACTGAACTAAAACTGAACTACAACTGTACTAGACCTAAAAGAAAACTGAACCAGATCTGAACGATAACTGATATAGAAATTTCTAGAAAAAATGGTGTACTCGTATTGTATCTTACCTGTGCCTTATCAACATATTCCATTTGCAAATTAACCCACATCCACATGCCCATCACTTGCACGAAACGTAAGGCCAGACCCATTAGCAATGTACACTTAGTGGTAGCTATAAAAAGTGCATTTATAAAATTATCACATAAACGATTGACTGTACATTCCGCCAGCTCTTGGACTAAACCAATAATCATAATCGAATACAATAGACCATCACATGAACTAATGTACGAGAAATCATAGAGACGATCCAAAGTCTCTTGCACCTCATGCAAGAGACAGCGATGTAAGAGCAAATTTTCAGCGCTGGTACGTGCAGCCTTTTCTTCTGCAGTTGATTTTGTATCATCAAAATGTTTCCACATCAAACGAAATTTAATGACATCCATGGTAGCAAGAATAATATCATAACGTCCCTGACGTTCGACCAACTCAACATGTTTTTCTTCAACATACTGTATCAACATTTGAGCAAATGTTAGTCGCGATGTTCGAGCATAATAGTAAGCTATTTGTAGTACAGCTAATAAAATGTAATTTTGATATGTCTGTCTTTGAAGATTCGTTAAATTTTCAAGTCCTTGCATTATGCTGGGGAAATGATATTGAATTTCATCCTCCAGTTCAAAGGGTTTGTTACTATTATTTTTTCCATAATGTTCGGAATATTCACAGAAAAAGGTTAAACCACGTAGGGCAGAAAAGTCATCTTGTATTAGGCGTGAACATTTATAGTGTAGTAACCAAATTTGTGAACAGTGTTCCATGTAACCGGACAATTGTAAACAAAGTGCCAAACTGGCTAGATCATCTAAAATTGATTCCCAATCGATGATGGCATCATTCATAGATATTGGTTCGCTGTCAAACTATAATTGAAAGGAGAATTAGAACTACTACAGATCAATAATAAAACTAGAACTATAACTGAACTAGAACTGAACTAGAACTGAACTAGAACTGAACTAGAACTGACTGAACTAGAACTGAACTAGAACTGAACTAGAACTGACTAGAACTGAACTAGAACTGAACTAGACTGACTAGAACTGAACTAGAACTGAACTAGAACTGAACTGAACTAGAACTGAACTAGAACTGAACTTGAACTAGAACTGAACTAGAACTGAACTAGAACTGAACTAGAACTGACTAGAACTGAACTAGAACTGAACTAGAACTGAACTAGAACTGAACTAGAACTGAACTTGAACTAGAACTGAACTAGAACTGAACTAGAACTGAACTAGAACTGACTAGAACTGAACTAGAACTGAACTAGAACTGAACTAAACTGACTAGAACTGAACTAGAACTGAACTAGAACTGAACTAGAACTGAACTAGAATGGTACTAAGAACTGAATTAGAACTGAAGTAGAACTGAAGTAGAACTGAACTAAACTGAACTAGGACTGAACTAGAACTGAACTAGAATTGAACTAGAAATGAACTGAACTAGAACTGAACTAGAACTGAACTAGAACTGAACTAGAACTGAACTAGAACTGAACTAGAACTGAACTAGAACTGACTAGAACTGAACTAGAACTGAACTAGAACTGAACTAGAACTGAACTAGAACTGAACTAGAACTGAACTAGAACTGAACTAGAACTGACTAGAACTGAACTAGACTGAACTAGAACTGAACTAGAACTGAACTAGAACTGAACTAGAACTGAACTAGAACTGAACTAGAACTGAACTAGAACTGAACTAGAACTGAACTAGAACTGAACTAGAACTGAACTAGAACTGAACTAGAACTGAACTAGAACTGAACTAGAACTGAACTAGAACTGAACTAGAACTGAACTAGAACTGAACTAGAACTGAACTAGAACTAAACTAAGAACTGAACTAGAACTGAACTAGAATGAAAAGAACTAAACTAGACTGAACTAGAACTGAACTAGAACTGAACTAGAACTGAAGTAGAACTGAACTAGAACTGAACTAGAACTGAACTAGAACTGAACTAGAACTGAACTAGAACTGAACTAGAACTGAACTAGAACTGAACTAGAACTGAACTAGAACTGAACTAGAACTGAACTAGAACTGAACTAGAACTGAACTAGAACTGAACTAGAACTAAACTAGAACTGAACTAGAACTGAACTAGAACTGAACTAGAACTGAACTAGAACTGAACTAGAACTGAACTAGAACTGAACTAGAACTGAACTAGAACTGAACTAGAACTGAACTAGAACTAGAACTAGAACTAGAACTGAACTAGAACTGAACTAGAACTGAACTAGAACTGAACTAGAACTGAACTAGAACTGAACTAGAACTGAACTAGAACTAGAACTGAACTAGAACTGAACTAGAACTGAACTAGAACTGAACTAGAACTGAACTAGAACTGAACTAGAACTGAACTAGAACTGAACTAGAACTGAACTAGAACTGAACTAGAACTGAACTAGAACTGAACTAGAACTGAACTAGAACTGAACTAGACTAGAACTGAACTAGAACTGAACTAGAACTGAACTAGAACTGAACTAGAACTGAACTAGAACTGAACTAGGACTGAACTAGAACTGAACTAGAACTGAACTAGAACTGAACTAGAACTGAACTAGAACTGAACTAGAACTGAACTAGAACTGAACTAGAACTGAACTAGGACTGAACTAGAACTGAACTAGAACTGAACTGAACTAAACTAGAACTGAACAAAAACTAAACAAGAACTGAACTAGAACTAAACTAGAATTGAAATAGAACTGAACTAGAACTGAACTAGAACTGAACTAGAACTGAACTAGAACTGAACTAGAACTGAACTAGAACTGAACTAGAACTGAACTGAAACTCAACAAGAATTTAACAAGAACTATACTTACTTACCTTTTCATAAAAATGTTCGAATGCCTTAAACGCCTCCCAAGCTAATTTGAAGCGTTTCAAATCGTTGTTTAACGTAAACGTTGACATTTCTTCGCGCCTTAACAAACTTTCCAATTGTTCCTCATTTAAATCCTTTGAGTCTACCTGAAATTTTTGATTTGAATTCATATCGTTTAGTAACATGACACAGACATGACCGAATGTCAAGTGCTCCACTCGGCTAAGCTCAACCAACTCTTTCGCTTTTGATTTAAAAGATTTATATAATGAAGAGATTTTTGCCATGGCATAGGTTTGTAGTTTACCCAATTTTGTTATTACAACAAAATCATAATGGGTTTGAGAAGATTTTAGAATGGAATGTAAGAGAGCAGTATTTGCTTTATAGTATTTTAAAACGTGTTGACTCTCCAACCAATGTAATAACTTTTTACGTGACTGTTCCAAATGCGGCCTAAGCAGACTTGTGGTATTTTGATACAAATTCGTTAAACAATTTTCATGTGCTAATGATTCATTTGAGTCGGCAGCATAAAATATATTTATTTGTGTACGTATTTGACCAATATCTATTTCGCTTATCGTCTCATGTAACAAAGAAGCTATATAGCACATTTGTATATCACGTCCTATGTGTGGAGCCTCGTTTATATTCTGTGATACGGTTTTATAGAGCCGCCTTAACAGCAGCGGCCATTCTTTCCCTGGTATTTTTGTTTTGATCTTTAAAAATAATTCACATATCGATACGCAGGTACCAGCTTGTTTGTAGGATTTACAACTCAGTGTTGCCTGCTTAAAACGTGTCAATATTATTTCTATTTCTTGTGATTTGTCTGTAATACAATCCATTTTGTCAATAATTTTAAAGGCATGATTTATTATCAGTATTAGATTATTTTGTATTGTCTCTTTGTAGTAATCTGTGAGCTGTAAATAAATGAAATAAAGACAATAGTTTAGAAAAACAAACAAATAAATTAGCAGTGAAAAATAAATAGCAACAAGTTGTTTTTAGATGTTTTTATGTTATTTGCTAAATGATAAAATATTATATCTGCAAAATATTCATCAACAAAAAATTCCATAGTAATGAAATCGTGGAAAAAATTATTTGGGGAAATTTTTTAGTTTTCGACGTTTAAGTTTGTTTATAAAACTGAACTAGAACTAAACTAGAACTAAACTAGAACTAAACTAGAACTAAACTAGAACTAAACTAGAAATGAACTAGAACTGAACTAGAACTGAACTAGAACTGAACTAGAACTGAACTAGAACTGAACTAGAACTGAACTAGAACTGAACTAGAACTGAACTAGAACTGAACTAGAACTGAACTAGAACTGAACTAGAACTGAACTAGAACTGAACTAGAACTGAACTAGAACTGAACTAGAACTGAACTAGAACTGAACTAGAACTGAACTAGAACTGAACTAGAACTGAACTAGAACTGAACTAGAACTGAACTAGAACTGAACTAGAACTGAACTAGAACTGAACTAGAACTGAACTAGAACTGAACTAGAACTGAACTAGAACTGAACTAGAACTGAACTAGAACTGAACTAGAACTGAACTGAACTATAACTGAACTAGAACTGAACTAGAACTGAACTAGAACTGAACTAGAACTGAACTAGAACTGAACTAGAACTGAACTCGAACTAAACTAGAACTGTACTAGAACTGAACTAGAACTAAACTAGAACTAAACTAGAACTGAACTAGAACTGAACTAGAACTGAACTAGAACTGAACTAGAACTGAACTAGAACTGAACTAGAACTGAACTAGAACTGAACTAGAACTGAACTAGAACTGAACTAGAACTGAACTAGAACTGAACTAGAACTGAACTAGAACTGAACTAGAACTGAACTAGAACTGAACTAGAACTGAACTAGAACTGAACTAGAACTGAACTAGAACTGAACTAGAACTGAACTAGAACTGAACTAGAACTGAACTAGAACTGAACTAGAACTGAACTAGAACTGAACTAGAACTGAACTAGAACTGAACTAGAACTGAACTAGAACTGAACTAGAACTGAACTAGAACTGAACTAGAACTGAACTAGAACTGAACTAGAACTAGAACTGAACTAGAACTGAACTAGAACTGAACTAGAACTGTTATTGAACTAGAACTGAAAATTTACCTTTTGGTCAGTTTACCAAAAGGTAAATTTTGACAATTTTCAATTAATAGAACAAAATTATTTCATTAACCGCACCACGGTTAATCGATTGAAAGCCCTAGTTTTAGGTCTATGTACTTACATTACTATCACGATTTGCCAATTCCTCTTGTTTTTTATCATCTTCACTAACATTCTGGCAATAGAATACAAAAGCGGCCAAAGCAATTTGAGCAAATGATAGAATAACATGTTTCCTGGTACTGCTGCAGCAATTTGTTGTAAATAATTTTGTTTCCGCCGATATGCATGGAGCCAATTTCATCAATTCCATAAAAAGCTTAAATATAGAAGTATAACAATACGGTTTAGACATTTGCTTCCAAAATGTAGCAAATATAGTGATATTTTGTAGTTGTGAATGTAAATAGAATAACAAGACGAGGAAATCACCAAACCAAGGTTGATGTATAACATTTTTGGAATATTTATCGAATAGTTCCTTAAAACGTTCACAACGTATGCTGTAGATTTGTTGAAAATCTAAAATAGACTTTTGACTGCACAATAACTTTAAGTAATCGTAAAGTAAAAGAAAGGAATCAGCTATAGGTTTATAAGATTGTAAGCGTGGTTCTGTACGACATTGGCCCATAAGTTGTACGGCTAATTGTAGTTGCATTTTATCCATTATATCCAGCTGTAGTAAAGAGTAAATTGTTTCAATTATAAATTTAGCTTGTTCTTGAATTTCGTTTTCTTCAAAGGATTTGTCAAATGTTTGACGCCCATATAGCGAGAATAAGGCACAAAACATTTCCTTAACTTTATTTTGTGGTAAATATTTTATAAATTGATAAAATGCACCAATTTTATTTTGTAAAAACAACCATGATATGGCTTTCTTTAATAGATCGGGATATTGGAAATTATGCGTTTTATTAGTTTCTAAAACATCGTTAAATAATTTTGTTAGATTTTCAAGAACGTTGGTTGCTTCGCTCATAGCTAAATCTTGGTTTTGTAAACGTAGTGAATTTTGCAGGAACAATTGATAGCAATTGATGTGGATGTAGGTTAAACTATTTTCGCTGCTTTGTAATTTATTGTCATAGGCTGAGATGTGTCGATATATAAGAGAGGCTTTTTCGAAATCTTTCTGTGAGGATTAGAATAAATATGAAATATTAAGAGAACTCTTTCTTTTGATAAACGTTTTATAACATTTTTTGGAATTTAAGAAGAGTCATCTTACATACCTTGTCCGCCAGTAAATAATGAAAATATCGTATGCAATTAACATACAAAGTCCAATACTTCACACTAGCCTGCGGACACAAATGATCCGCAAACGTCTCTATAATAATGTTGCAATACAAATCCATATGTTTATTCTCACATTTAGCAATTGTACACATAATTTTACTGGCAAACATTAGTTGATGTTTTCTCGCTTCCTGGTGGCCAGAATCACCATAGCGTTTGAAATATTTTTCGATTTTTTGTTTGGCCGCGGAGGCTTCAGCCGGAGTACCCTTTAAATCAGACTCAAAATCATTTTCCATTTTGGATAGGCAGCAAACATGCGGTTTTATTGATAATTTAAAGAATTATTTATTTATATTTTTAGCAGTATTCCAGCTTATTATTGCTTATTTTTTGCTTTTAAGCGCGCTTAACAAAAAAAATTCAATTTGAAAACAAAATTAAAAAAGCATTTGTTGGAGGGCAAACAGAGCCCTGCGCCGACAAATATTAACGGCGGCGGCGACTGACACTAAATATGTCGGCGGCGGCTTAAAATCGACTGTAAGCCGGCTAAGTTTTCAACTACGTTTAGTTTTTAATTTTTCAACGATTTTAAATAAAAACGGAATACGAGAGATCAGAAAGTAGGATTTTAGAAGCAAATATATTGTTTATAACAGTGTTGCCCATACACACACTGTTACACATTCATTTGTATTGGTAAAGCAGCAGAGAACAAAATGTAACCCAAAATAAAACTGTACTAATAAAATGACTGCTTACTAAAAAGTATATTCTAACTGTCAAATTGATATTATGGATTTTGACAGACAGCGTACATTAAAGTTCATATATAAAAAACTATCAGCTGTGCTCTCTCATTCACCTACATAAATTCGGCTTTCTCAAAATTTTGTTGTTGTATTTCTGTGTGGATTTTAAAAAAGTTGCGTAGAGATCTTACTTCGACAAATGCTGATCAGCAACTGAGTTGATTTTGTTTTGAAAGTTGAGAGATAATCAACTAGCACATGCTCAAATAAGAAAATACACAAGTAAGATTATAGTGTAGGTGAGTCAACGCAACGTCAGCAGAATATTCTTGCCCTATCTCGCGTGATAGGGAATAGTGATTTTGGGCACCATTGGTTTATAACAGTGGTGCTCAAACACATACTACCATAGTTTTATTTGTGTTGGTAAAGCAGCAGAGAACAGAATTTAATTCAAAATAAAAGTATACTAATAAAATGACTACAAACTATAAAGTATATGCTAACTGTCAAATATTTATTATGGATTTTGACAGCCAGCGTATAGCAACGTCTATATATAAAAAACTATCAACTGTTCTCCCATGTTCTCCTACATTAATTCGGCTTTCTCAAAATTTTGTTGTTGTATTTCTGTGCGTATTTTAAAAACGTCGCGCACAGACCTTGCTTTGGCAAGTGCTGATCAGCAACTGATTTGATTTTGTTTTTCAAGTTGAGAGCAAACCAACTGATATTGCTCATTATAAAAAGAAGAAGAATTAAACCTATAGTGTATGTGTATCAACTTAGCGTCAGCAGAATTTTCTTACCCTATCACGCGTGCTATGACACGGCCATATTGAGCTTCTCTGGTTTATAACAACAAAACAGAGCAAACTCAAAAGTTGTATGAGAAATTATGCAGGGATAAATAAAAAATTCTTAAAAATTAAAAACAAATCCTTTCTCCAAGTTTTACTAGGATCTGCAGAAAATCAGTTTCTAAAAAATTTTGCATTAAGAAAATGATAACTTAAATAACAAAGATATTTTATTTGTTTATTTACTAGCTATACCCAGTGTGCTGTGCTACCCTAAAAGCAATATAAATAAGAAACCTACTTAACAATTTTGATGATTCTAACTACAATGGTTTTCCAGATATACAATTTGTTACATATGGGAGATTCCACGCAAATTATTGCAATTTCGCCAATTATTCCGAACGTTAATTATACCCTACACCACTTTAGTGGGGAGGGTATATTGGGTTTGTGCTGATGTTTGTAACGCACAATAATATTGGTCCTATACCCACCTTAAAGTATACCAATCGGCTTAGAATCATTTTCCGAGTCGATTTAGCTATGTCCGTCCGTCTGTCCGTCCATGTAAACCTTGTAATCAAACTACAGGTCGCAATTTTGAAGATAATTCAATGAAATTTGGTACATGATCTTCTATTGTTCCAGGGACGAAGCCTATTGAAAATGGTTAAGATCGGTCCATTATTTCACCTAGCCCCCATACAACTGAACCCCTGAATAGGGCTTGTAAACCTTGTAATCAAACTACAGGTCGCAATTTTGATGATAATTCAATGAAATTTGGCACATGATCTTCTATGGCACCGGAGACAAAGCCTATTGAAAATGGATAACATCGGTCCATTATTTCACCTAGCCACCATACAACTGAACACCTGAATAGGGCTTGTAAACCTTGTAATCAAACTACAGGTTGCAATTTTGAAGATAATTCAATTAAATTTGGCACATGATCTTCTATGGTACCGGAGACAAAGCCTATTAGAAATGGTTAATATCGGTCCATTATTTCACCTAGCCCCCATACAACTGAACACTTGAATAGGGCTTGTAAACCTTGTAATCAAACTACAGGTCGCAATTTTGAAGATAATTTCACCTAGCCCCCAACCCGACGAATAGGGCTTTTAAATTCATAATTATGTTTAATATACTCGTATCTCAACAAAAAGCTGCAAAACCAAGTGCTATACTAGCCTTGATGACTCTCATGAATTTTATAATTATAGGGTCTCATTTGACCATAGCACCTATACAAAGCCCCCTTCAAAAATTTGACTTAAATGTCCACAATTTTATTCAATAATAAATGGCTTAAGTATATCTGAGGCAAGGTACAATTCAACTACAATGCTTTATTATGAAAACAAAATAACATTTCATTTTTGTAACAGGTATTATATGGTCGGCCTGGCCCGACTATAATTTCTTACTTGTTATGATTTTAATTTAATCTATGAAAAATTTGAATAATCTAATAGTTTCCAGATATACAAAATTTTGTATTTAATTCATATGGGAAGTGCCAAGCCCCCCATTGAAAGTCCGCCCGTTATTCTCTAAATGTTCTTCAGTAAAATTTGAAGATTCTAGCTGTAATAGTTTCTCAGATATACGAATTTTTCTATTTAATTCATATGGGAGCATATGTCGTAAAAAAGCAAATTTCGGAAGTGGTCCGATCATTAGATTAATAAAAACGTCACCTTGATTTTCGGATTAGGGACTTAAATGTAGAATTAGATCAATAATATATATAATTTAAAGTATTTTTTGTTAATTCTACCATAATTCTATCATAATGATAATTAGCTATAAACTGATTTTCTGTAAGAGGGTTATATTGGCGGACCGATCCTCATAATTTTATTTTTCATAAATGTAGGTTTCGGTTCCTAAAAATGTTTATTTCGTCGACATCGACATTTGAAAGTCATTTATGTGCGTTTAAGTCATTTTCTGAAGAAGATTTCATTACATATTTTCGTTCCAACAAAAATTGTTTTATTATGGTATTATTAAGTACGTAGAAAACGTTAAAATCAATTATTGAAGGGGGCAGGGTCAACTATGGCCTATAGAGATTTCGATTGATATCGAGCCCTTTTTGCAAAATGGACGTGTAAGCGAGATAAATTTTCGTTCAATTAGGATACTGCGTGTTTAATTTTATGTTTATATATTCAATATTTTAGAAAATTCAAAAAGTACCAGTTAAAGAACGAAAAATTACCAGAAATACTCCAGTTTAAATTTTCATTCACTCAAGTCCCTGATTGCTTAGTTTTATGTTTTTAGGTTCATTATAAAAAAAAAATCCAAATAGTACAAGTTGAAGAACGAAAAAGTACCAAAAAGTCCCGTTTTATATGTTCTCACTTACTCCATGTTCAATATTATAGAAAAATCAAAAAATACCTTTTGAAGAACGAAAAAGTACCAAAAAGTTCCCTTTTATATGTTATTACTTAATCCGGGCTGTACATTCCTAAATTCATGTTTCTAAGTTCAATATTATAAAAAATTCAAAAAGTACCAGTCGAAGAACGAAAAATGGAAAACTCAAAAAGTACCTTTTGAAGAACGAAAAAGTACCAAAAAGTCCACTTTTATAGATTCTCAAGTGCTTAATTACATGTTTCTAAGTTCTAAGTCAAAAAAGTACCAGTTGCAACATCGTATTGGGAGCCCGTTATTATGTATTCATATGTATAAGTTAATAAACCAAAAACAATGTTTTATAAAAAAAGTACCAAAAATAGGTACAATTTTCACCCCTTAAACGTCCGAATATCCAAAAAGTACTAAATTCATATTTTTATTTGTTCGTCAAGTTATGAAGGATTCAAAAATATTTTTTGAATGTTCTCTGGTTTAAAAGATACATGGGGTGCAAAAGAAGTACCAAATTACAGTTTCTACCCGTTAATTCCCCAAAGCGGCCGAATTTGAAAAAAGTACCAGACACCTGTCCGCTTATTTTTTAAATGAACGACGATAAGCTTTAAACTGTTTTTGTATCTATAGTTTAGGAGATATGAGGTTACCGAATTTACACGTTTTTACCATTTTTAACCCCCCAAACATTCGAATTTCCAAAAATCCCGTCTTAGTGGATCTATTTGGTGGGAGACCAACCTCTTGTCCAAATTTAGCTCTCTAGCTATGATTATTAATTTCAATTTTTAGTTAAAAATTTTTTTTTTATTTAAAGAATATCATTTCTGTCATTATAGATTTTCGCACACACCACACAACAACAGATTTTTTGTGGCAAATAAAAAATGCAGAAAACAGTTTGGCGCGAAAAATTCTAGCAGAATTTCTTTTCGCAGTCGGCAGAATTGACATCAACTGCACTTCCCATTTGAAATACACATGTTCGATACCCTAGCCCTTTACGGTATGACATACCAGCAATGTAAAAAGGTGTAGCTCCGTTGACGTCAACGAAGCTGGTTTGAAGTCAAAGCAGCGACTCGAATTAGGCGCGAAAACACGAAAATATCTGAGGCGAAGCATATACATCGAACGTTGAGCAAAGTTCTACACCGGCCAAATTTCAATGAGCGGCTTATTATTAGATAAAAAAAAACTTGCTTAAATGAAAACAAATTAATTTTATATTGTAAAATTCCACAAATTTAGCGAAAGTATTCTGTAAATTGTACAAAATATGGCGAAATTTTCAAGCCGTATTAAGCTGAAAAATTTTCGGCGGCGGCGGCTTTGACATTTAGTTCGGCGGCTAGGCTTAGTCGGCTAAGCCGAATCGGCGTAAGTCTCTGAGGGCAAAATACAACAAATATAATGGAATGTAAAAAACAGGGCGATTCATAAAAATTATGGAGTATTATAATTGTGTTGCCAGATTTGATTATTCGGTTTATATGAACTATT